TGGAAGAAGCAAAAGTTCCTCTTCAGGTGTCTTCATAAAGAATTGTGCCAACAGCATCCTCAGTAACTTTCCTTAAATAAATGCAGTGGTTGGGTACACAGGACTAGTCCTCAGGACAATTCTGGAAGCATCAGAGCACGAGGGTTAGGAGAGATTTCAGTCCTACACTGCCTGAACACACATCCCAGCTCTGCTGTGTGACTCTGGGCATGCTATTCCAACCTGCCTCAGGTGCCTCAGTTCTCTAACTGTGAGGTAGGAATAATAACAGCAATTTGCAAAGATTTTGCAAGTCAAAAAGCATTGCATAATATTACCACCTATTAATGAAGAGCTAGGGAAAGTAATTGGGGTGGGCACTGCCATAATACAATTCAATATCTAGCTTTACACTGATCTGATTTGACCTCATAGATTTTAGAACAGTGCTGTCCAAAACAACTTTCTTGTGATCAATATAATAGCCTCTGGTGGCTACTGAGCACTAGAAATGTGGCTAGTTTTATTTTAAAATGTACAGTGGAATTGGGTTTTAGGCTCAGATAACTGTGCTAATGAAGTACTGAATTTCTAATTTAAATAACCCACTAGTAACAAGTGGCTATTACACTGGACAGCAGGGATACAGAAATTTCAGAAAGTTTGAACAGTACTAATCTGTAAACATCTTCCAAGCAATAACCTATAAATATCATTATAAGTTTTTGGCGAATATTAGGCAACAAGGACTCCATATTGCTTTCCTTGATATCTAACTGGAGTGTGGCCACCTCTACTGCTGGTTAACGTAGACGCTACGCCTTGGGCTTTGGAACTGTCCCTTTTTGATGTGCAAAGTCCAAGGTGGCTGAACAGAACACGAGACTATCTGTGCTGTGAGGAAAGTCAAGGAGGTATCCATGGCAAGGCTAAAATCGTCCCTAGAACACCGCGTTGAAGCTACTTCAGAGCACAAAGAAATGTCTTGATCCCAAAGTTCTACTTCGTCTAGCACAGTTGGAATGGTTTGGACCTGAGCAATTTTAGAGAGTAGTTTCACTGGATGCTGGTCTCTTCCCCGCATCCCCCACACAGTGTTCTATTAACTTTGAGAAATGCTACTTCTTGGTGTACCCTCTAAGATAAACTATGTGGAAAAGGCGTGCCAAAATGACTAAGTAAGAGAAGCCGTAGTATGAATGTGAGTCCCGGATAAAAGTAATATTTGCTAAAATCAGTAGAACGATTTCATGTAAGTCATGTAATATAAAGGCAAAATAAGTGGAAAAAAATGATAATAAAATGTGTATTTCAATACATAAGTGCTCAGGCAAAGACACACAAGAAGAAGCAATAAAATCATTAGTACCTACACGCTACGTATGTCGGTGACTTAATTATCATCAGTGGCACTGCTGTCAGTAATAAGATTTTTTAAAACAGGTACTAGAATTCTTGGTCAAGTTTTAACAAAATAAAAGTATGATCTCATAGGTGTATTCTTGGAGAATTCAGTGTATATTAAAACTGTATTAAAAAAAGAGTTGGGTTTAGGGCTCAAATACCTAAGTTGTTTTTTTGTTTATTTTTTGAACGTTCAACAGAACATTCAAGAATCATGTAACATAAGGAATCATTCTTTGTTGAGCTAAACCATCCCATGTGCTGTGGGACATAAAACACCTACGGCCCCCGCCCTCTAATTGCCAGCCATACCTCCAATCATTTCTAAAACCTCTGCTCCAAGCCAATCATATAAACTCTATCACTTCCACCCTCACCAATCACTGGTTCATCAATCCGGGGTTAATCGTCCAATGCGTGGCCTTGGATGGTTTGAGAATAGGGAACATGATGTAATGTCAGTCAATGAAACCCAGAGAAAGTTTGCTGGGGGCTGGCAGGCAGGAGAACACCACAGGAAGACAGTCTCTTTCTTATTTTCTACATGGTTACAGATGGATGCTGAGGCCTGAAAATTCTAAACTCTTCTCAAAACTAGCTGGAGGATGAAGTCAACAAGCAGGAGGGCAGAGCCAGAGGCATAGGAGAACTTGAGGTAAATGTGAATTGTCCCCCTTGGCGTCTACTCTACCTCTAGACTTCCAGTTCTGTAATTTCCTATGGTTTAAACCACTTTCTTTTTTTAAAGTTTATAGTTTATTTACTTATTTTGAGAGGGGGGAGGGACAGAAAGTGGGGGGGGGTGAGAGAGAGAGAGAGAGAGAGAGAGAGAGAGAGAGAGAGAGAATGAATCCCAAGCAGTCTCCACCCTGCCAGCGAACCGGGAGATCATGACCCAAGCTGAAATCAAGAGTTGGGACACTCAACTGACTGAGCTACCCAGGTGCCCCTAAACCACTTTCAATTTGGATTTTGGTTTCCTGCAGCTGAAAGCACTTTGATACATACATGAACAATTTCATACCACAGAAGCCTAATTGAAAAAAAAAAAACAACCCAAAATAACAAACAATAGCAGGTGAATATTGTTCCTGGACTTCTATACCATGTATATACCAATTATGCTTTTTTGTTCGTTTGTTTTTTACCTGTAGTAAACGAGCCTGCACGCTCACACGTAAAGGAGCTACACTGATCGAGACTGCAATTCTTCCATCAAGTGGCAAGCATACTGTAGAAGAATGACCAACACAGGTCACACATGCAGCCTGTTAAAGAAAACATGTGAAATGTAAACAGCTATTTAATCTGAAAAAATATATAGCTACAGGTGAAAGAGTAATAGTATATTTGTGTACAGAGTTCTCCACAGCACAAGATGCGCTGTGGGCAGACAGGGTAGTACAATGGACTAAGCCCCTGGTCTCATGAAGCTTGTAATTGCAGACAAATGAAACAAACAAACAAAAAACCATGTTTATTGAGTATGGTAACTGATGAGAAATAACAGCAAAGAAGGTTAATGAGGAAAGGTTTTCTGAACATGCCAGAGTCTGAACTTCAATTTTAAAGGTTGGTAATACTGAGAGGGTGTGGGAAATGGTGCATTACAGGATGAGGAAAAGTTAAGGATTTAGGAACATGGGTGGAAATTCAGTAACATACTGCTGTGATGGCAGCAGGTAAGGTTCTAAACGACTCCACCGTCAGGTTCATGACACACTAGGGCAGAAGGAAAAAAAACTTATAATCGGAGACAGAGCTTCAACTTGGAATGCCTGTTCCACTATGTCCATCTGTCTGACTCTGGACAAGTAACAACCCTCCCTGTGTCAGTCTCCTCACTTTACAAAATGGGAAAATGTAGCTTGGGTCGGGGGCTTAGAGATGACACGAGACAAGGCGTGTTAAGTCACATGTGATAGAAACGTACTTGATCATGGTAGTTATCACTTAAAATTTTTTTTTAAATGTTCATTCATTCATTTCCATAGAGAGAGAGTGCAAGCAGGGGAGAGGCAGAGAGAGGGAGAGAGAGGGAATCCCAAGCAGGCTTCGCGCTGCCAGCACAGAGCCCAATGTGGGGCTCAAACTGAGATCATGACCTGAGCCAAAACGATGAGTCGGACGCTCAACCTACTGAGCCACCCAGGCACCCCAGTTATTACCACTTTTAAATCCACAAGCAATTCACCCAAATTAGTTTCAGAGCCTTTACAAGACAAACTTATGTGAAGCTGAATATACCTATTACATCAGGTTTGAAAAAAACTTTTCAAAGGTTGCAATTGCAACCTATTCCAAAGTGCCCTAAATTAAAAGACAATGACACACTAAGAAAATGGGTTGTGATTAAGAGACTACAAATGCATTTATTGGTAGTATTACTGAATGCTGAATGCAGAGATTAAAATACAAAGAAATCAGCACTTAAAATCTTTTAAAAATGCAGTATCTTTACATACACATTAACCAATTCTGCATATCTATTTAGATTTACAAACACAGAGCAAATTCCAAAGCTTTCACTCTGAGTATACTTTGATTTTGAGTTCTAGTGTTCTCCATTCTAAAGTCAGTTGTTTTTTTGTTTTTTTGCTGTTTTTACCAAGTATGATTTATTTTGTTTCTACCCTAAAAACAAGACTCTGTGAGCTGATCCTGAAGCAGTCCGTTAAATCAGGAATTTTTAAACAGCTCTTTAAGAGAGGATAAAGCCACATGAAAGAAAATGCCTAATCCTACATATATAAATACAAGAGAAAATATCAAGAAGCAACAAGAATCACAGAAATACCAATCCTACTCTAAACTATAATTTCTACTTCTAGCGACAATTCAATTAGCAGTAGCTTAGATGCCTTTGTTCTAAAAAATAAAACCATTAGTTCTTTCACTACAGTTTTCTGACTATACTCAATGAATAATTAGGAACTCTTCATATACTTTTTAAAAACTCAAGAATATGATTTATATGGAACAGGATCGTTAACAAACAAAAGAGACCTTCAGACATACTGCTGAAAGCTGCAACATAGTTTGGGGACCAGATTTCAATTTCTCCAGTATTGCCATTCATAAAGAGTTTATGGCACCCAGCACATAGTGCTCAGCACTGTCAACTTAGAAACGCTCCATCCGTTCCTGCATCAGAGAATTACTGACATGGATGGGACTGTTACAACAATTCTCACAGGGCCTCTAAACAGGACTGCGTGTAAAGTGAAATGACTGTAAACTATGAGACTGCTGTGACAACACAGCTAGCTTGTAGAGCTGAATTTTTCACAATAATAACACTACAGAATTACAGTGACAGCGACATGTGTCAGAGTCCTCTTTACTGCTGACTGTTAAGTAGAAAAAGAGTTTTCTGACTATGTTTTTGATGAACAGGAGATCTTTGAAGTAAACATTAGGGGAAACTGGAAAGTGGACAAAACGAACTCAAGTTCTCTTTTTCACAGACATTAACAACAAGCAAAGCAGTTTACAAAAAAGAAAACCAAAGTTGCCCTATAAACAAATAAATATATGATCAAATCAATCATTTTTGAAGAAAATATAGCTCATTTTCAAAAGTTCTGTTTGGTTTGTAACTAGACTCGAAAATATTAAAATAAACCAAACAGATTCCTGCAATACTGATTTGCTATGTGAAAAAAGCACAAGTTTTAAGCTGAATCTTTCATTCTCTCCCCTATTCCCAGAAAATGAAAAGAAAAAAAAAAGCGGGGGACTCTTGCAAACATAAAACCAAAACCAACCAGCTAACAAAAAGTAATCATATAAGAAAACCCTTTTTTTTGAACACCTCACTTTAGGTGGTCCCATAATCAGGGTAAGGTTTCCATAGCAAGGACTCCCTAGTCTCTTCCTTTGTCTTTCATTCTTCAATCACCTCCACGTTTTTATCAAACAAGGCTATGTGAAGGCTTTCCTAACAAGTCAGGCTGAGTCAGAGGTAGCTTTAGGATGAAGTATACTTGACTACGGTATGTGGTTAGTTCAAATGAAAACGTTACGTTGTTCAAAAAGGATTACAACACCTAAAAATGCACAACGAAAAAAATGTACAGCCCTCACTGCCTTGCCTAAGAGAAAACTTTTGAGAAACTCAGAACGTTGAGGCACTGGCCTCATCCCCATTAGCCCCTTTAATGCACCAGTTCAGGTTGGTTCTCCACAAAAGGGAGCACCCCGCTCACATAGTAGGCAATGCCAAGAGACAGCAAAGCAATGACAAAGATCAAGAGCAACACCCTCCAGAAGCCCAGATCCTCGACAAACTCCTGCCATGTGGTTCGGAAGCTGGACAGGACTCCTTCCCCTTGCTGCAGGTTGGGGTTGAGGAGAGAATGGCTTTCCATGGCACTGTGAAAGGAGCAAAGAAAAAGGAAAGAAACATCAACAACGCATTCCACCCATTTTGGAGACATACAACAGTAGCCACGGAACTTAGAAAAGACAGGACACAACACTTATAAGAAGAAAACTGACCTATTCCTACTCGCACACATTCAGATACTCATGTACGTATCTGCATATATCCGCACAGTCTACCTTTGACTGTAAATTAAGCCACAATGACTATGTTTCTTGGTTTAGTATCCAGCAGAGCCAGAGTTAAAAATCATTTTCTAATGAAAAGCTCCTAAGCAGAAGTCTATTTTTTTAAAGTTTATTTTTGAGAGAGAAAGGGGGAGGGGCAAAGAGAGAGAGGGAGACAGAGAATCTCAAGCAGGCTGCACACTGTCAGCAGGAAGCCCGACGTGGGGCTTGAACTCAGGAAACCGTGAGATCATGACCTGAGCCAAAATCAAGGGATGCTTACCCGACCGCTCCCCCAAGCAGAAGTTGTGAAGTTTGTAAAATGAGTTGTTTCAAACTCACAGTATCTAAGTAACCAAATTTTGGTTACTTTAAATTTAGAATTCAAAACAAAGATTCATACCTTGAGAATTCATGTTAATGAAAATAAGTCAAGATGGGTAAATCTAAAAAAGCATTTTATATACAGTGTGTGAATCTTAGAGTTAAAGGGAAATTATCATTTATTTAGTTCAATTATCTGACCAATGAAGGAATTTCTTCTTTTAACTGTAATCCTCTAAAAACGGACATTTAGCTCAGTCTGTTGTACATCTGAACAGGCCTAGTCATTATGGAATTCTTAATAGCTTCCTCCTACTGGTTGTAGCTCTACCTGGTACAGTAATACAAAATAAGTTTATTTCACTTCTGCATAAAGGCTGAACCTAATTGAAAATACAGTAGCACAAGTGCCATAAAAACGGATTCTTATGACGCCTGGGTGGCTCAGTTGGTTGAGCATCTGACTCCTGCTTTCAGCTCAGGTCGTGATCTCACGGTTTGGGAAATAGAGCCCCATGTGTGGCTCTGCGCTGACCGTGTGGAGCCTGCTTGGGATTCTCTCCCTCTCTCTCTGGCCCTCCCCCCGGGTGTGCACACGTGCTCTCTCTCTCAAAATAAATAAACTCTGAAAACACTAAACAAAGAAACACAGATTCTTGATTCTGGTTTTCAGAACTCTATCAGTGAGAAATATGACCCCTATAAGTAGAAAACAGGATATCTGACTTTGGTATTTGGAAGGCCACACTGTGATGAATTCAAAGCTCAAAGGGATTAGCACCCACAACTATGTCACAACATACAGGCCCAATAACAGGGTAGCATTTAGATTAAAACCACAATGACCATAATCATACGTGCCAACTATCTCTTGCTTATAAAAGGTCATTTACTACCCGTCCTCAACCCCTTCTCTTCATATTCTTCCAACTATCTGGGTATAGAACAATGGAAACAGTCTGGTTCATCATGCAAAAACCGGCATTCTTATCTAACCTACAATTTTACTTTACTTCTTGATACTTAATCAGAGGTCCTTCAGCATTTACTAGTATTAGAGGTCTTCTCTAGAATCATAGGAAGCTGACTTCCTAATTGACCAGTCTGCCTGACATCCAAGCTTTTCTTCTTTATATATGAAAAGATGTTTATTTTCTAAATAAGAAAGGACATTTTCAGTGGGAGTCTACCAGAACACAAAAATTTAAAAAAACCAAGTTCAAAAATAAGATTGGAACTTTGAGGAGGTTTAAATACATAATACCATAAATAGATAAAGAAGTTCAGGACAGGTTAATTTTGACTTATTCAAAATTTATTGACTATGTCCAAGTTGACATAATCTCATACTCAAAGATGTTGGGTATAAAATGAGAATTTAGTTGGGCATTCTCTAGGAGCTCATGAAGCTCTGCCAATCAGAATTTCCTAGGGTGACTTTATCCAGTGAAATGCTTTCTACTGTATGTGTGCACATAATATTTTTTTTGTACGTGTGTCATCAACACTGTCTTTGTCATCCTATGCTCACAAATTAAAAAATGACTACATTAAGCTTAGGACATATGGGGGAGTGGGGAAAATATTTTTCACCATCTTGATTTATGGGCCCTTTAGTTATGCTTTGTCTCAGAGAACCCTAAGGGTAATGGAAAATGCTAGGTACATTCAAAACTTGCTTCATGTTCTGCTAATCATCACACAGCTTTGCCACAATGCCATGTGCTAGCCAATCCCATTAAGCTTTATTCCTTAACCTTTTCTATTGATAAAATTCACATATCATAAAATTCATCTTTTTAAGTTGCACAATTGAGTGGTTTTTAGTATATTCACAAAGTTGTACAACCATCTCCACTGATTTCAGAACATATTCATCGCCTCTATAATAAGCTCTGTACCGCTTAGCAGTCACCGTCCATTGCCTCTTCCACCAGATCCTGGCAACCACCAATCTACTTTCTACGTGCTGATTCTGGACATTTCATATAAATGGAATTATCTATGTCTTATTTAACCGGCTTCTTTCATGTAGCATGGTTTTAAAGCTCATCCATGTTGTAGCATATTGATATATGGTATGTCATGCCTTTTTATGGTGGAATATTCCACTAGATGCATGAATGACATTTTGTTTATCCACTTATCAGCTGATGGACTTTTAGGTGGTTTCCACCTTTGGGCTTTTATAACTAATACAGTTATAAACATTCATGTACAAGTTTTTGTGTGAATGTATGTTTTCAATTTTCTTGGGTATACACCTAAAGTGGAACTGTTGGTTCATATGGTAACTCAGTGTGACTTTCTCAGAACTGCCAGACTGCTCTCCAAAGCAGCTACTCTACTTTACATTCCCACCAGCAGTGTATGAGGGTTCCAGTTTCCCCACATCTTGCCAATACTTGCTGTCATTCCATCTTTTTGATTACAGCCATCCTCCTGGGTATGAAGTAGTAACGCACTGTGGCTTTGCTCTCCATTTTTCTAATGACCAACGATGTTGCCTTTAAGCTTTTTAAGCGTCAACCACCACGTGTCTACCATGATACTGAGGGGCAGGAATAAGATAGGGCAACGAGGTAGTACAAGTATT